GAGTTGTGTGTTGGCTAGCTGCTAGCCAGCTGTGAGTTGTGTTAGCTAGCTGTTAGNCTAGCTAGCTAGCTGAGTTGTGTGTTGGCTAGCTGCTAGCCAGCTGTGAGTTGTGTTAGCTAGCTGTTAGCTAGCCGCTAGCTAGCTAGCTATGAGTTCTGTGTTGGCTAGCTGTTATTGATATACAAGCTAGCTACTAGCTAGCTACTAGCTAGCTACTAGCTAGCTAGCTGTGGGGTGTGTGTTGGCTAGCTGTTAGCTAGCTACTAGCTAGCTAGCTAGCTAGCTAGTAGCTAGCTAGCTACCAGCTAGCTAGCTACCAGCTAGCTAGCTGTGGGGTGTGTTGGCTAGCTGTTAGCTAGCCACTAGCTAGCTGTTAGCTAGCTAGCTAGCCAGCTAGCTAGCTAGCTAGCTGTGGGGTGCGTTGGCTAGCTGTGTGTGTGGCTCAGTCTCGTAGCAGCTCCCGGGGGCGGGAGCGACGATCCCCATCTTATGGGGCTTACCGAGGGAGAGATGCATCAATAGAGAGAGAAAAAGAAAAAGAAAAAGAAAAAGAAAAAGAAAAAGAAAAAGAAAAAGAAAAAGAACAGCAGGAGGAGGATGAGGACAATGAGGATGAGGCCTTTAACCTCTCGCTCACCGGTACGTCATTAGCTAGCTAGCTAGCTAGCTNTAGCTAGCTAGCTAGCTAGCTGGGTAGCTAGCTAGATAGCTAGATAGCTAGCTAGATAGCTCCCCAGCTATCCACCTAGCTAGCTAGCTAGCTAGCTAGCTAGCTTGTCTATTGTTTATTGCTTATTGTTTAGGGTTTCTGTTTTAGGGTTGAGGGTTTAGGGTTTAGGGTTTATTGTTCATTGTGTATAGGCAGCGGTTTGGTGGAGTTATTAGAGCAGAAGGCTTCATGCGTGTTTAGGGTTTAGGGTTTCTGTTTTATTGTTTCTGTTTTATTGTTTATTGTTTATTTAGGGTTTAGGGTTTATTAGGGTTTAGGGTTTATTGTTTATTGTTTATTAGGGTTTAGGGTTTGTGTGTTTAGGCAGTGGTTTGGTGGAGTTATTGGAGCAGAAGGCTTCATGCGTGTTTAGGGTTTAGGGTTTCTGTTTTAGGGTTTCTGTTTTATTGTTTATTGTTTATTGTTGGCGGTTTCTGTTTTAGGGTTTAGGGTTTAGGGCTTAGGGTTTATAAGGGTTTAGGGTTTGTGTGTGTTGTGTATAGGTAGTGGTGTGGTGGAGTTATTAGAGCAGAATGCCTCATGCGTGTTTAGGGTTTAGGGTTTCTGTTTTAGGGTTTAGGGTTTATTAGGGTTTAGGGTTTATAAGGGTTTAGGGTTTATAAGGGTTTAGGGTTTATAAGGGTTTAGGGTTTATTAGGGTTTGTGTGTGTTGTGTATAGGTAGTGGTGTGGTGGAGTTGTTAGAGCAGAAGGCCTCGTGTGTATGTGTTGGGGGATCGTTGTGTGGGGTGGATCCCGTGGAGACAGTTGAGGAGTGTGGGGTGGGAACGGATCCCGTGCTGCAGCAGCAAGTGTTAGAGAATATGAAGGGTTTAGGGTTTAGGTTGTTGCTGCCGGTTCAGAGGTTTTCTTTTGCTGCTATAAAATTAGGGTTTGATGTTTTTGCTTTAGCAGCAACAGGAACAGGCAAAACCCTAGCTTTTCTTGCTCCTCTTCTCTCCAAGTGTATACGATCACACTTCTATAGACCACATTTTCC